TAATGTGCAAATGTTTAAGTATGCGATGCAAGCCTAGCTGAAAATTAAAATCATAGAGGGTGTACCGCTTGGATTTTCTGGCAGAGAAACTGACAGAATCTGAGGTTTAAAGCATGAACATATTAGGTTCATGTTTAAAGACCGTCATTACTACTGGGCCAGAAGGGATTAGACCACACAGCGAGGTCACTGACAGGTGGCTATCTCATTAACTCAGCTCTCAACTAACATAAGAAAAAGAGGATCATGGGGGACCAACAGGCACCAATTGGGGAAGTTTTCTATATACCGGTAGAGTGAGCAAGTAGCTACAAGTAGGACAGTGGGGCTTTAAATAAAATTCACTGATTCCGGACAGGGCTTTTAAATGACGAGCAAAGCTGTAGGAAAATTCTCACTTCATCCGATGAAAACAATCTCAACATGGTTAATGTGGATTGTCTTACCTCTCATTCGCCTTTAATCATGGCAACAAAACATTATCTAAAATTCCCAATTACAGAAATTTATCAGTCCAGTCTTCAGGCATTCTGAGATTTGTTTATCATTTTCACTCAAATCATAAGTGTTAAAGTTATTGGTAGCAACAGTTGAAAAAAAATGAAATAACCAAAATAGGACAGTTCTTATTGTAGGAACTCTTTGTACAAATACCCCAAACTTTATCGTCACATCAGTCTTAATAGCATAATAAGACTTCCTCTGGGCCCTCGAAATATGTCTCTTTTTTTTTAAAGGAAAATTATTTTGATTTTGAAGTTCAACATACATATATAGGCGAGGGATTCAATATGGCACAAGATACTGGGGTCAAGCTATCCTTAGCAGAGGAGATAACGGCGGAGACACCACTGAGACAGGATATGGGCCCCCTTCCTCGCTAATTTTCAAAATGGACTCCCCACCCTTTTCTTAAAACCCACCCAACCTCCGACAACAGGACCCATAACCATCATCCGAGCCAGCTGGACTGTTGTGAAGTAATATCATCCTGTTTCAGTGCTAGTGCTTCCATTCGTTGCCAATTTTTTAATTTTTTAAATGGTGAATATTTCATTAAGACAGAAGTTTCTGGATTTTCAGCTTTGAGTTTAATTTTGTTCCTCGGCTGCATCAAAAATATAATCTCACCGAAACAAAAATGTTTAATATTAAAAAACTATGAGGATACACAAATACTTTACTAAGTCTTATTTTATACATGGTGCAGCATGCAGACAAAATCTTCATCCCAAATTTATGATTACGTGTATACATTTGTACAAAATGTAGGTGGCAGCAGTTCATATCACACATCTGATTCTGGAAATTATTCTTAAGAGGGCATCCAAAATCAAGAAACACTCTTTCTAAAAAAATTGTTACCACTCACTCTTGAAATACATTCTTCTTATTGGCATCACTATTCTTCCCCAATCATAAATTTAGCCAAGACTTTTTTGTATTTTTTTCTATGTGTTTACACCATAAAGTAATTTCAATAAGTTCCTTTTATTTTCTGAATTATTTGATGATCTAAATTACCTCTTCCCTTTTTTTGTCAATCAAAAAGATGATGAACTCTGTACTTATTACTTTAATTTACTTACCATCCTCTACACTGCATATACTATCATCAAGCGACCACTCAGAGAACATTGTCAATTTTTTCCTTATTTCTGGTAAAATCAGTCTTCAAAGAACTTTCCAAATTTTATGATCCAATAGTGTTCTAGGAATGCATATTGAGCCACAATTCAAAATGTTCACACACAAAGAAAAGATCACTAGTAGCCAGACAGTTGTTTCACAAACGCTTACTGTTCCTCAATATTTTCCATAGAACTGGTGTAATAATCACAGATCAATTTATAATGTACGTTCCTGTCTAATATCAGAATATCAAAAGGAAAAGTGAAGATAAACAGTCTACAAATGTAAACTTGTTATTCTTGTAAATTAATCCAACTCGAATTTGATATTGCAGTCAGTTGCCTTCCCTTCACAATGAACTTTGTAACAAATTTTAAATTGTTGAGCGTTTTTATCCAATGTTATTGACGTCACATGCATTGCCTATGGAATACCACAAAAATCATGCTTGGCCTTCTTTCAGACTCCCTGTATAAACATTTTCTAATGGTCAGAGATTTACACTTGGTGTGCAACAAATAGCACATCTCTCTTTCACTTCTTTTTACTTGACCATGTTGAATAAATTAATTTTACACTATTTTAGCGAGAAATGATAGGAAGTATGAAAAATCATTGAAATCATATTCACTTATTGTCTTAAATGAGCCTAAATTGAACACAAATAAGCATGCCCTCATTATTCCTATAACACCACATTGGGCAAGAATTGTACAGCTTATCCTACCCTCATGTTGGAGTTAAATGACAATTTTAGGAAGAGTAAGTACCATCATGACCTTTTACACATCAACAGGACATTGAAATGCGATCATTCTTTGAGGAGCTGACGACATTGTGGGGAATTTATAGTGCAACAGGGAAACAAAAACATAGACCCCGTTCTCATTCACTTCGTTGGAGCGGTCTAACTAAGACCCATTCCTCAGGAGCAGTTCTTAGGTGAGTGAGAACGGTCAAAGTGGTCCAGGAAGTGGACTTCTGGACCGCTCCAGAAGACCACCTCGGGAGGTGGTCTTGAGGAACGGGTCTTATTAAGAGCGGTTTGGACCGCTCTAACGTGCAATGTGAATGAAGCGTACCTTGACCGGAAGTGAGCTAGTGACGTTCCGTGCGAAACATGTAGTACGGTACATACGGTTTGTATTCCGCGCGCGAAAAAATTGACCTGCTGACCTAAGCTGCCATAGCAACAAGACCACTTTGACTCGTGGAGCGGTTTGAGCCATAAAAAACTGCTCGGAGTGTGAACGCTCGCAAACCGTTCCTCAAGACCCGTTCCTCAAGACCCGTTCCTCTGGAGCGGTCTAACTAAGACCACTTTCAAAGTGAGTGAGAACGGGGTCATAGAAGACAATTAACTACCACAGTTTGTTCCGATTGTTTGAACTTATAGATCCACAAAAGTCACACAACAGATGCTCAGTTCTAAATTCAACTTTTAAATCTTACAAATACATGTAATTGCTCATTGCTGTATCCCCTGCATATGTTTTTAAAAGTACGGTACTCAAAAAGTTAGTGTTCTCTCTCTCTCCCTCTCTCTCTCTCTTTCATGCTTAACACTACCTGACTAATAATGCTATAAGACATTCAAATAAAATTTTCAATTATATTACCCTTATATTTATATGTAAGTAGAAAGTTGCATTTTTTTTAATCTCATGAGATCTTGTCATGAATGACAAGGAAAGAAAGAAATAATAAAGCATATAGTGTTATCATATCTTCACTGGCTGCACATAGATGCAGTCCCAATGGTTTATTTTCATGTCAGGTGCATGGACTACAATATGACATTTATAATTGGAAAAATACCCTTGATTTAGGGTTGCATCGCAATCAAATTCCTGGAAAATATGAATGAATGAGTTCGTAACTGACCTCAGTTGACAGTTTAGATCCTCTCTGAAATGTTTGTTTTGTTTATTACCTCTTTGATGAGTAAATTTGACGAAGAGGAATCTTTTCCCATATAACAAATGGTTTACTGACCTTTGTATGAAACCAGGACATGTAAACATCTACGTATGTATACAAACATGTATATCTCCATAAGGGAATTTTGAGTAATGATTTTGTTTTTCAAAATACGCTTTAACAGTTTTCAAGCACCTTTAAATAATCCTCTTTGTCTGTATCATCAGCCTGAATGCAAATGTTATATGATTATTACTCCAAAACTACATGAACATGGACAGTCTGTAAAATACAAAATGAGTGTTTTCTTTTTCAATACATAGAAACTCAAACATGTGATGACCAAAGTGAAACCCATAAAGTCAATGAACCCTATGGAAGAGACACTGAACCCTCTAATTGTCAAAAGTTGCTGTTTAACTTAAAAACAACATATTTCCTGGTATCTTTTGTAAAACAAAATCAATCTGTGTTGTGACTCATGACATTGAAATACACACCAAAGAGCGCAGTGATTACCTGGTTTTGAATATACAAAACGGAAGACAGATAATAAATTACAGAGTTTCACAAAAGTAGTGGTACATGTAACTGATAGGTCTCAGCTAGACACGACATAAAGGGAGCAAAACTTTACTTTACATGCACCTTTCATTTTATTGCAACAGAAAAAATCAGACAAATAAGATGGCATGATTAATGGATCCTACCAGTATTTTAGATAATCCTTTAATATTCAGATTAGTAGCTGTTCATGGTATTCTTTGGGATACCTGTAGGCGTGTCTGCACTATCTCGAGATTGCCAAATATCCAGCTATTTTGAACTATCCCGATCGAAACTATCCAGCTATTTGCGTCTTCATTAGACCGAAGTGGCAAATTAGCTGGATAGTTGGTCGGGATAATATCCCAAGATATCTCGGTCTAGTTTGCAAAATATCCTTCTATTTCCGAACTAGCGGGATAGTTTGCGACCGTCTTCATTAGACCGAAGTACGGAGTCAATTATCCCGATCCCATCATGCACAACGATTTCCGGTTCGCACATGCGATCTATACTGCTCAGCGCTGACCTCGCAACCACTGACCTCGAGTAAACACGGAAAACCGCAAACTAGACCGAGATATCTTGGGATATTATCCCGACCAACTATCCAGCTAATTTGCTACTTCGGTCTAATGAAGACGCAAATAAGCTGGATAGTTTGCGATCGGGATAATTCAAATAGCTGCATATTTGGCAATCTCGAGATAGTGCAGACACGCCTTGTGTCATCTTCAGTCACAGGGGTGGTTTCCAAAGAGGGAATTTGTCCTTAGGGTGTAGTTACATGTATCCAGGGGTTAATTGTCCTAGGGGGTAGTTAATGTTATCCTAGAATCAAAATAAAAGATGTTTATAAAATGGTAGAATTGAATAAAGAAAGAATAAATGACATGACTTACCTATCTCTGAATCGTACATAATCATGTACGTTCCCGACAGATATTGGTTGGGGGCAGGCCATCGTTTGGAATGACTGTCTTTCATCATCATTTTGAATAGTTCCAATTTAATGCTGTTCCTTTAAATCAGTTCAGCTCAGTTCACATTCAAACATGGAAACTTTTAAAAGGCATTGCTTTATCCAGTTTGTAATGTTATTTTGAATGTGTACTCCATTGTTTATAAAATACTGATAATTCCCCTCGACATTCTGATCCAATCTTTCACATCCTTCAAAGGGTTACATGCAAGTAATGTTCCTTTATTCCGATCGATACTCGCTGGAAGATGAAAACATCCTGGATTAAGTTTCATTCATAAGTCTTCCTTCTGACGAGAGTTGAAAAACAGCAATCAAAAGTAAACATGAAGGTCTGGCACTCAAGACTAATGATGGATAGATATAAACAAAGAAAAGAGACTTGAGAATCGAATACAACTTCCCTTGAAGCAAGGCTATATACAACAAGCCTTGAATCAAGGCTAGAACACAACAAGCCTTGAAGCAAGGCTAGAATACAAGCTTTGGTAGAACTTTCGAGGAAAAATCAAAGTAACGAATGGTGTCAATGCCATGAAGCCGTTATCCTATAGTGATGTAGGCTACAACTAGGAGAAATTTCCTCAGGCTACCGGTATCTGAATTCTGTTTCTTCAGGGACGAGTTCTTTATCTCTTCGTGAATTTACATTCCATTGAAGCAACCCCGAAAATGAGATACCGCACAAAGGTGCACAAATAATAAGGATTACATTTCATGAAACATGAACACAAGTAAGATCATGTTCATGAAACTCAAAGAAGCTCAAGTATTGCCATCCATCACTACAAAAGGAAGAAGAAAGGGAGAGAGAAAGAGTGTGGGGGGAGGGGACAATGGTTACTCCTACACCGCATATGTAATAAACAGAGACTTCTCTGAGGGCTTCATCGAAAGTCACCAAGACAGTAAGCAACAACAAAGTACAACAAAGTATGAGGGCCTGTATTTTTTCATATATTCTCCATCTCTGTGACAGACATGTTAAGCCTAGAAAGCTTTGCTTGGACTCCCAAGTACAGGCATACCAGAAGCTGGCCACATACCGGTTTATCCGCAGATGAGACATCACTCACGCAGAAATTATCCCCATAATTAGCTCCAGTTGGTCAGCTCACCAGCCAGTATTCCTCCGGTATAAATTGCAAAGAGGCACCGGTCGGGTGATATGTTCTTAGAGTTTAATAGAGAAGATGGCACAAGTCTGCATCAATCAAAAAGTTATAAACCAGCTTACGTGTAGGTGACAGCTACACGTAATGGGAGTTGGCAGCACGATCAGACTATTCTAGTTCATCAAATATAGTTTTGTAGACCACACAGGTAACATTTTATTTGAAATACTAATTTAGAAATTATGCATCTTCTAGGATGATTACAAAATATAGGATCATCTCAACAGCCAACACAACTTCATGTGATCAACTTTAGTTCATGGTAAAAAATCTAGATTTACTGGTCAATATTAAGTCAGCTATTAATGTAGTTCACATAGGCCAACTGAAAACATCCTACATATGGTCATAGTCCTGTATAAACTGTAAACTCTCAGTCTTCTCAATATTAGCTGCAAAATTTGAAGAGTCACAGAGTGGTATCAAAGATTAAAGGTCTCTCAGACATCTATCACTTTATTTACAATTGCAAATGTGTCCTTTTATTACAATTATCCACTAAATCGTCCATCTTCATCAGGGAAGTTCAAAACACTGCTTTCCTTCATGGAACCATTTATATAAAAAAAATCATATCTTGAAGTACATGCAGGGACTTGGGATACATGTACCTTCCAAAACCAGAAACACATAAAAACAAAAGTTATCACCAAATGCCATAAAAGATGAGAGAGAAAAGTGCTGGCTGAGAGCTGTAGAGTGATGTCACTATAAACAACTGAAGAGTCCTCATTTCTCCAAAACTCAAACCACAATGACCTGTCAAAGGGCTGGATGACTGACGAGTCATGAACTTTGTATCTTCTCTCTCCTTTCACCCATCGCAGTCCCATCCATCTGGATTGGTGTCAGTTTGTAGCTCTACGCAAGAAGCAAGCAAAATTAGCATGTGCGCACCTGGCAGAACATATAACGTCTCAAGATTAAAAGGTCCATCCAGTAGACTGCACTTTCAAAGATAGAACAAACAAGGATTCAAATAAGCAAATTAGATATTTCTGCTTATCCAGAGATCAACATATCACCTTGCACCTTTTTCCAGTTTTACAAACTTTCTGAAACTTCAGTGTGAGACAGCATTTCCAAAATATGATCCATGTTCTTGAAGTACTGATGTGACCGTGAAGAAATCATGCATGGCGTCTTAATAATACTGTGCGATGTTGTTCTACTTCATTGAGTCTATCAGACAAGCATTGTGCATTTGAATTCAAAATGCCAACTTTTAGTTCAAAGATCATTAATCTCACATATGTATATCTCCTCTCCTGACAGCGCAAGACAGACTAATCTGCAAAATGTCAGGCTCCTTTAAACATAGCCTGGTTGACAAAAAGCAGAGACAATGGAAGATATCATGCAACAGAAGGGTCATGTATGCCAAAAGCCTGTACGATTCTGCAATCTGTATATTGACGCCTTCCTGCAAGAAAGCTGTTACTGCCACTGACAATACACACCTCCAGCAGCCTTTTTGCGGGAAGCTGACAATATTTGGTTATTACATTTCAAGACCTGCACAATGAAATGCTAATAGTAATATGGAGGACTATAGTACCCCTTGTAGATCTATTTGACAACACTGTCAGGTTATGATATTAATCTAAATTTGACTCCAACCATGCGTGCTTCTGAACGACTGCGGATGACATGGCACAACAAATCCAGACCCCATCCATATAAGGAGTGGTGTAATTTTGAACCACCAGTACCATCAAGAACGACCACAATCAAGCTTCCACAAGACGTCGTCCCTTTCTGTCTGGAGAACTCTTCCAAAATGAAATTGCTAGTTTCTTGATTAATTTCAGTTTAATCCAACTGATCGATGCATGCCATAAGGCCTCACCTTCACAATATTGCAGCTTCTCCTATTAAACATGTACCATACCAATGGATGCCACATACAAAAAACATTAGAATCTCACCAACAAAACGTGACGTAGATGTAAATTTAACCCCTATACAAAATTATCTCCACTCGTTCCAATCTGGTACCAGAACAGGGCCATTTTTACACAGGAAACACCCATGATAAGCTCACCTGATACAACACAAATCAAATCCGCTTCTTTACTAAAACCCTCTCCACATTCTCTTCAGAAACCACTGCTCCATGCCGATCAGTAATTCATTTATGGACAGTTTGGGGTCTGCAGTGAGCTAACCAAAAATCCCCCACTTTTGGGACTTGTGAATGGGAAGAAAAGAGAAGAATAGGAGAAAATCTGAGGGCCTTTTGTTGTGTCTCTTGACAAACCACAGATTACGGAAGCCCATGGTGCATGAAAAGGACCTCTGCATGTATGCATTTAATCCCTAACTCTACCTCCTTCTCTTTCCATGATTTGAGAATACGAAGAAATAAAAATAAATAAAAAGACAATGGAAAAAAGAAAAAAACATCACTTAGACACTGTCGTAGGGATTACTATTTCTGTCTCCATCTCTGACTAGTACCTCCTTGGTTGTAATAATATGGTATTATAGGTCTGTAAGTATCATCTGCTTGTTCTTCCAGTAAGCTTACATAGTTTTTGTTTAAAAGTTTATCTTTTGCTCTCTTCTTGACCCACTAAGCAAAGTAGCTAACATAATCTAATAATTAATAATAATAATCACTATTGACATGATAAAAAAGAATCAAATTGAGAGCTGTTCGAAATGAATGTCTCTATGTTAATCGTAGCGACACATAGGCCTTTATCCTACCATTATATCATGCCCATACAGTATGTAAGTAGCCTTACCTGAATGCCTAAACTGAATTTAAGGCTTCTGAGGCTGGACATAAATGACAATGACAGGCTAGATGCAACATACAAGATTGGTATCAGACAACTGAATCAAATAGCATCAATCAGGATTAGTCTTCAGTAAGAGTTTGGACCATTTAGAACGTAATCAACGCAACCTGGTCCACACCGAACAGATACAAAAAAACCCATCAATATCAAGATATCATTTAATAAATTTGAAAATGATCCAATGATACGTATGTATCGCAACCTTGGAGATGACAGTGATTCTCCCTCTGCAACGACAAAGTCCCTTCTGCCTAAATCAAAAATATATTGTAGACTAATATTATAAAGCAAGGATGCTGTGACTTACACATTCAAATATTCTTAGAATGACCAAAACAAGTAAATAATCAGTAATCAAGTGCTTCAGATATTTACTTGTAAGGGAGCTCTCTTGAAGACAAACAAAACATGAGATTATCTTTACCCCATTCCACTGAAGTCAATGACCTTGGACTGTGAAAACTACCGGTAATCATCCTAAGGTAGGAGTTTGTAGTAAACAATTAGTAATCATGTTTGTTTTGTAACTGGACCTTTGTAGAGCTCAACTAACAAACATTTAAACCATTTTTGGTGGTTTAAAGATTATAGGAATGAGATGATGACAAAATACATACATGTACCAAATCTACAACATGAAATCGGTTTAAAGCTCTGATGGGAAGCCATTTTGGAGGAAGATACATAAAGGGCATTCAAAACTGTAAATTAATTTACCGGTAATACACTTTAATGATCCAATCAATACATGTGTTGTAAAACAACAGGGACACAGTTTCACTACATCTCTCTACAGAATGGAAATTCAGTTTTCTGCTAAAGTATACATTTCTGGCAGGTGTTTTTTATTATGAAATACATGAGACATGATTTCCCTCAATTTCAATAACTTTGTCAAGATTTTTCTTCCACCAATGAAACAACAGTTTTTTAGTATACAAATAAAATGTTCAAAGCAAAATGCAAATGCAAGCCAAGTCTTAAGCCATACACTCAGATTAAATCATCTATGGCAGTAAACAACTGTACCTCAAAAGTGATTAGGTCAGATCCTGAAAGAATTCATGCAGACAGATGACTTCGCTGTTCACAAAATAAAAATGCAGCATGCAGCCAGTGCATTCAAAAACCCATATACCTGTAGAAAAATATGACTATCACAACTCTGAAGAAACATATGGCGTTCTCATTAAATGGGTGGAGTACTTTGAAATATGAATTGCAGTGGCTTGGAAGTTGGATTCAATTTTCATATCTGCAGTGTTAGCAGACAAAGACCTGTATGAGTCATTGAAATTTATCTCTTTGAATTGGAAAGCATTTTAAAGTATTTTATCAATACAGCCAACACATTAGGAACAGCTGGGTGAGATGCAAAGGTAGTCAAACTAAACAAAATTCTAGCTGTATTACACTTACAGTAAGAATGTCCTAACATATTGTTACAAATTTTCTTATCCCTTGTATATACATGTAATATCCTTTGTTTTCGTCAAATTTTATTTATCACTTTCGTAACTTTCTTGTTCTGGTCATGCGATTGCATTGTGAAAGAAATGTTGTATTGTGGAATCGAACAGAAAAGGTTGATCATCTAGGATATAAGTATTGGTGTGTACTGCAAGTTTCTGTAATCATCAAAATGATAAGAAATTTGGCCCAGTCTTGGTAAAGTTACAAGCACTGTACACAGAAAGATGTATATGGGACTGCGCGACATGTGCACGATATCTCTCCGGTCCAGATAGATATAATAATTTACCAAATATATCAATTAGTAGGCGGTTTCTTAGCAAAATTTATATCATCACGTATTGGTCAAAACATATTCTTTCACATGATTGGTAATAAGAGCTTCCATTTCATTTTTTAAGAGGGGGACGTTTCCAAAATTGGTCTATATCTTTAAAGTTAAAATACTTTTTTTTATATTCTAGCTGTGTAATGTAGTAAGAATATCCTTTAAAAATACGTTTAAAGGTAAAGACCAGTATTGGAAACGCCCCAATTTAAAAAAATGAAATGGAAGCTCTCATTACCAATCATGTGAAAGAATATGTTTTGACTAATACATGATGATACAAAATTTGCCGGGAAACCGCCTACTAATTCATATATTTGGTAAATTTGTTTCTCTCATGGTCTGTGAGAGATATAGGGTAGTCCCATATACATCTTTCTGTGTATAGTGCTTGTAACTTTACGAAGAATGGGCCAAATTTCTTATCATTTTGATGATTCCAGAACCTTGCAGATGCTAGATGCTAGATGATCAACCTTTTCTGATCGATTCCACAACGTTTCTTTCACAATGCAATCGCATGACCATAACTGGTCTTTACCTTTAATATTTTCCTGTTCCTTGTATATTATATCCTTTCATGTTTCATCAAATTTCTTCTTTTATCACTTTCCTAACTAAGTTTCTTGTACTTCATGCTACCTGCTCTTGCTTCTTGCTTCTACAGTTGAGTTCAAAGCAAACTATCCTGTCTTGTTTACCAGACAGATGGACAATCAAATAGCAGGGAGCGAGTAAATGGGACGTTGGCTATATCCTTACCGTCATACATTCTTCAACATGACTCATCAAATCTACTAGACTTTCCTCTTCCAAAAATAGAATTATTTCTTTGGCATACCATCCATATGACAGTATAAAAAAAAACACAAAAACAAGCAATACTTGCTTCCTCTCACATATGTAAAATCGACTGCCAAATTAATGCAGTCTATCACAAATAAATGTTGTAAAACAAGTTTTAAAGTACATGACAACATGAAGTGATTTTACTTTTTCCCTGTTTTTCAGATTGATACAACATGTACCATAACTGCACCCCACAATTCTTAAAGCTATTCTGGTAACAGTTTTCCATTTATTAAGTACAGTGTACATTCAAAGAAATAATTTGATATTCAAACTGTAACCATTTTCTTCAAAAATACAAAAATAAACAAATGTATTGTATAAGTCTACTTATGAATAATACAGAAAGAAAATTATACAAAAGATACAATCAAGGAAGGTCTTCTTATTGGACATTGTAGACCCTATTGGCTCATTTTGGAAATCCTTTCCATTCATTCCTTGTAGTACAATCAGATGACTGAAGTGTCAATCTCGTGAGTCATTCAATCAAACTTTGAATGCATCTTCCAGGAGCCAAATAGGTAAACAATTTGTTCTTGACCAGCTCCTGACCTAAACAATGGACCAAGGATGACACACTTATGTCCAGTGTCTCAAGAGGGTTAAAGAGGTCTTAGCAAACAAACAAAAGTTCTTTCTTATTCGTAAAGTCTATTTCAGTACTAATCCTTGAAAAAGTACCAACAACTATAACGCATGACAAATAAAATAATGTATATAAATACAATGTTTCCCCAAAGGATCGCTACTACTTTGCCGGACAAGCATCAACAAAAATTAGTGAAAACAAATTAAATATCGTTGACAATAGACGGATGAAAAGGTTGCAATTCTAGAACATCACTCGCAGAAAAAATTGAAGAGATGGGTTGTTATGTTCCAGTGTAATCCCATAATGCAATGGAAAGGAAAGTGATTATGAGTACATCCATCATCATCATCATCATCGTCACAGGCACATGAAGCTATACAGAACCAATCAAACTATTCATCCAAATATGGGAACAGGAGCACAAGCTGGTGACAAGATATCCTTCTTTAAATTCCCAAAACAAGGTGTAACCATGTAAGAAAACATTATTTTCCCCTAAAAAAATATGACTTGAGAGTCATTAAAACCTGCCATGTACAGACGACTGTCCAGATGCTGTCTGAAGTGAAGGGAGTATGAAATACAATAGCTCATCTAGGAAAGACGATTCTGTTCACTTGAGCAGAACCACAATAACCCTATCATCTTTGAGCCTTGGACGAAAGAGACAGGAGGATCAAGGTGGTAATCGGAGAGGCGAAGGATGTGACTACCGTCTCTCTGGTCTTTCCCCCATTCTGAATTGGTTTGTATAAGATGGAACGTTACATATGGGACTGTTTGTCATGTGCTTGGAGCTGGTCTGTAGGTTTAATCATACAGGAAGGCAGTGTTAGTGCTCCGTCTTGTATACCTATTCCAGATGAGATTGATACATCATTCTCTTTCACTTTCATCTATTCTCCATCCCCCTATACCTCTGACCCATTCTTCTCTACCATTCTTCACCCCCCTCTCTCTTTCACCTTTCACCTTCTTAACTTGAGAAGTAGGACATGGATATTCATGGTTGTTTACTCCATTTTCATACATTTCTAATAGTTCTAACATACATCCATCATTTCCACCACCTCTTTTATAAAGTGAGTTTTAATTCTCTTTCTTTCTCCTGGTTTTTCA